GGGGAAAATGAGCTGATATCAAGGGCTCAAATAGAAAGCAAATGTTTTGAGAATGATGAGGGCAACAAATGTACAAATGTACTTGACACGATGGATGGATGGATTGTGATAAGAGTTGTATGAGCCCCCAATAAAATGATTTTTAAAAGAAATATTTCACAATAGATAATTACATATTGTTTTTGTGATTCATCACTATGCTTTAATTATGTTCAATTTATAACAGTGAAAATACATCTTGCATATCAGATATTTACATGATGATTCATAACAGTAGCAAAATTACAGTTATGAAGTTGCAACGAAAATAACTATGGTTGGGGTCACCACAACATGAGGAACGGTGTTAAAGGTCATGGCATTAGGAAGGTTGAGAGCCACTGTTCTATGAGTTTATCAATCCTCCCCACCTGTTTTTTTAATCATTATTTATTCCTTCATCCGCACCCATTTGTGCAGTTCCATTTTACAAAGATAAAAGAAACTAAGCCTATTCTTTTGGAAAACTAAGTCAAAATTTCTTCCCAAGGGAGATTTCCAAGTTGTTTTAGATATTAAGTACATAGGATACTTTTAATCGTATTTTTATTTATAGTCTTTATTTCTTATGACGTATATCAACACTTTCCAAATACTCTTTCAATAACTACGTGTGGATACTATGTGCTAGTTGAAGAAGCCCTTGTGTAGCCGTGGGTTAAGCGTTGGACTGCAGTTTAAACCCCCCAGGTTCTCTGGGAGAAAGATGTGGCAGTCTGCCCCCATAAAGATTACAGCCTCATGGAGCTTACATTCTTGTGAGAGAGACATGCAGTCTCAGTAAAATTAAATAAAATACACAGTATATTAGGTAGGAGAAAAAGCAATAAAGGAGGAAAACCAAAGCCGAACTGACTGCCATCAAGTTGACTCCAACACATAGCAACTCTGTATATGGCATGCAAAGCTGTAAATCTCTCCAGGAGCAGATAGCCTCGTCTTTCTCCCACAGTGTAGCTGGTGTGTTTGAACTGCCAACCTGTTGGTTAGAGCAGTCCAACCCTTACCCCTCATTGCC